GTGAAGCTGTAAAACATCAGCTGGCTGTGAGCGCACCGTTCAGCTGTGGGAGGACTTTTTTGTTAGCCCTCAGAGCTGCATTTGATTCAGTTGATCATAAAATTCTATTACAGAGACTTGAATAGGATATTAGAATTACAGAAACAGCTCTAAATTGGTTTAAATCATATCTGATAGATTCCAGTTTATAAATGTAAATAATGAATCCAACATTTTTCAGTCGGGTCATCTGGACAGTTTCTTTGAAGAAACTGTCCAGATGACCCGACTGAAAAATGTTGGATTTTATACCTGGATTATTGAGCATGGACTTTGTTGTAAATAATGAATCTTCATCATACACCAAAGTTAGTCATGGAGTTCCTCAAGGTTCAGTGCTTGGACCAATACTCTTTACCTTGAATATGCTTCCATTATGTAATGCTATTAAACAACATGGGATAATTTTTTATTGTCTTGCTGATGATAGTCAGTTACATTTGTCCATGAAACCCAATGAATCCAATCAGCTACTTAGACTACAAGCATGTCTTAAAGACATAAAAACCTGCATGACCCTTAATTTTCTCCTGTTGAACACAGACAAGACTGAGGTTTTGGTTTTTGAACCTGAGCATCATAGGAATGATTTTTTTCAGTCTTTCTCCCTCCTTAGATGACATTAATCTGTCCTCCAGCTCTAATGTTAAAAATCTTGGTGTTATTTTTGATCAGGACATGTCTTTTATTCCCCACATTAAAAACTTTACTAGAACCACCTTCTTCCACCTGCGTAATATCACTAACATTAGAAACATCTGATCTAAAAATGATGCAGAAAAACTGGTTCATGCATTGGTCACATCCAGACTGGACTATTGCAATGGTTTATTATCTGGATGTCCAAATACTTCTTTAAAAAGTCTTCAGTTGATCCAAAATGCTGCTGCCAGAGTCTTAACTGGAGTTACTGGGAGAGATCATATCTCTCCAGTTTTAGTTTCTCTCCATTGGCTCCCTGTCAAATCCAGAATATAATTCAAAATCTTACTTCTAACCTACAAAGCTCTCAACCACCTAGCTCCATCTTATATTACAGATCTTATTGTTCCATATTTATCTAACAGAGCACTTCGCTCTCAGACTGCAGGTTTACTTGTGGTTCCTAGAGTTTCTAAAAGCAGAATGGAAGATCTTTCAGTTCTCAGGCTCCTCTCTTGTGGAACCAACTTCCAGTTTCTGTCCATGAGGCTGACACATTGTCCAGTTTTAAGACTGGGCTTAAGACTTTCTTTTATATGAATCCTATAGTTAGGGTTGGATTGTAATGCTGCTATAGACTTAGACTAATAGAGGACAAATTGATCTAATTTCCTTAAACGAATTGTTAAAATTGAATAGTTTTCATTTGATACTATTTCTATCTTAACATGTGATTCTTGATCTGCCATTGTGTATCTGTTCCTACCAAACCCAGCCGGTTGAAGCAGATGGTCCTCTTGTCCTGAGCCTGGTTCTGCTAAAGGTTTCTTCCTCATGAGAGTTTTTCCTTTCCACTGTCGCCTTCATGCTTGTTCAAGATGAGAGTTCTGTGATGGAGTTAAACTCAAAGCTGCTCCTCAGATAAATAATGTTAAATTATTTTTATATATGAATGTTTCTGTTCAGTGCCCTGAGACAACTTCTGCTGTGACTTGGCGCTTTATAAATAAACTGAATTGAATTGACTGATCTCTGTGAGCCCACTCTTCATTTAGCTGCTTTCTTTCTCTTATATTCTGTTGTGTAACACATTTTATGAAGAGACAACTCAACAAATATCAATCAACCTTTATTTATACAGGTAAATCCCATTGAGCCTCGAGGACTCATTTACAAGAGAGACCTGATTTCAACAAAGAAAGATGACAACAATGGACAACAGCAACAACAATAAACAGTTATAAAAAAAGCATACTACAGTTTTTTTTTTTTTTTTTGTTTTTTTTTTTTAACAAATAGGATGGCTAAAAGGAAAAAGGTAACAAAACAAAAAACAGCTAGATTCCAAGACAAATGTATAAAACTAAAAACAGTAACATGTCTGCATTGGTCCCTGCCAGGAGTCCAACAGATTCTTAAAGACACTTAGAGAGGTCAAGGTCGAGAGCTTCAAATCTTTTTGTAAGATGTTCCAGGAAACAGGAGCAGAGTAGGAGAAGGTCCTTTTGTCTAGTTCAGTCCTCACTGAGGGAACACTGCAGGTAATAATGTCCTGAGAGCGCACTCCGTAGCTGCACTCATGCAGAGACATGTAGGAGGAGATGTATGAAGGCAACAGACCAAGAAGTGATTTAAAGATGAAAATGTACCAGTGAGAGAGTCTGCGTGAAGTTAATGATGTCCAGTTAACCAGTGAATACAGTGTGCAGTGGTGGGTACGATAATCACAGCCAGTTATGAATCTTAGTGCACCATGATAGACAGCATCCAACATCTGCAGGGTTCTTGTAGGAGCGTTCATGTAAATAATATCACCATAATCAATTGAGGGAAGGAAAGTCACAGATACAAGGCGTTTTCTAACATTCAGGGTTAGACAGGATTTGTTTCTGAAAAAGAAACCCAGTTTAACTTTCAGTTTCTTTACCAAGTTTTCCACATGGAGCTTAAAAGAGAGATGTGAGTCGACCAAGATACCCAAATATTTATAGGAATCAACAAACTCAATGGGGACACCATTTGAGGATAAAATCGGAGGAAGAACTGCTGGGACCAACTTCCTATTTGAAAAAAGCATCCCTTTGGTTTTGTCGGCATTTAGGACAAGTTTGAGGCAGAACAAATCTGTCTGGATGATGTTGAATGCAGATTTCAAAAGCTGGAAAGCCTTAGCAACTGTTTTAGCTCGACAATAAACAACTGTGTCATCAGCATAGAAATGTATGGATGCATTAGGGATGTTTTTACCTACATTATGTATGTAGATTGTAAAGAGGGTGGGTCCTAAGACTGAGCTTTGTGGTACACCATTGTTGACTGTTAAATAACTGGAGGAAGTACCATTATGTTGAACACATTGCCTCCGGTCTGAAAGATAGTTAGAGAACCAACCAATGGTGTGATCTGAGAAACCGATTTCTGAGAGTTTATGACACAAGATGTTCTGATCCACAGTGTCAAAATCTTTAGACAGGTCTAAGAAAAGTGCAGCACAATAATCCTTAGCATCCAGTGCTTCAACAACATCATTAAGAACCTTCAGTGAAGCAGTGGTTGTGCTGTGTTGTTTCCTGAAACCAGATTGATGTGGAGGTAAGATGTTAAATGAGTCCAGGTAATTTTTGATTTGAGAGTTTATTAGTTTTTCTAGAACCTTGGCTAAAATGCAGAGTTTAGAGATTGGTCGATAGTTGTTCAGTGAGGTGGGGTCACCTCCCTTCAGCAAAGGAAGAACAAAGGCTGTTTTCAAGTGTCTGGGATGGAGTTTTGTCTTATGGAGAGATTGAAGATGTGGGTCACAGGGACTGTGATGATATGAGCGGACAGCCTTAAGAAATAAGGTGGAAGTTCATCTGGAAATAGTGACCCAAATGGCTCTGAACCATACTAATGTCATAACTAGAAAGTTCCTGGAGAAATGTCGACAGGGACTGCCACGTGGCGACCATTTACATTTTTTTTAAATTTGACAGTGTGTTGGGGTTCGCTCTCGGCTACCATCACACCTAATTTCAGCTCAGTATGACAAGAACTCAACAACTCATAGTCATGTTTTCTTTTAAGCTATGTGTGGCTATCTTGGATTTGATTTGTTTGTGATTAGAAAAATTCTCAGCTATAACCTCACCAACTCTGGGTGAGCTTGGAGGTTCAGCTCTATTGTGTAAAATTAGCTGAGTTAAAGCCATTTAAATGTGGCTTTTGTGCCCGTCTTGGATTTTTTTATTTGAATTCATTGTTTTTTGGGCAGTGTTCTCAGCTACCACCACACCAAATTTCAGCTTTATCTCTAAAAATGTATGATTGGCTCGTATTTTACCTTTTTAGCTCAAGTGGCCATCTAGTCTATTAGGGATTGTTCTCAGCTACCAGTTCACCAGATTTCAGCTGAATAGCTCTAAAAACAGCTGAGTTATAGCCATTTGAAATTAGCTTAGGTGGCCATCTTGTATTTTTAGATTAGGATTCAGAATGTGCTGATCATCGCTCTGTTACCACCACACCAATGTTTGGCTCGATATCTTTTAAAATAGCAGAGTTATTACTCTTTTTCCCTTTTAGCTCAGGCAGCCATCTTTGATTTTTGATTTGTATCAGTAATGTGTAACAACTCGCTCTCAGCTACACTCAAACCAGAAATCAGCCCAATATCTCACAGAATGACTGAGTTACTGCCAATTCTGTGTTTTCTGAGGTAAGTGTGGCAGCCATCTTGAATCAAAATGGCTCCAAAAGTTAATAGGTGTTTTGTTCAGAGACCTCTTCACTTTAGGTCATGTGACCTCCCTGTGTCAGTTAGAGGCTGTGAAGAGTTCTCTGTGTTTTTAATGAGAAAAATGGCGTCTTTGTTAGGAAATTACGTTGCCATGGTAACCTGACGCATCAATAAAAGTAACAGCACGCATCATGGTGCAGAGCCGGTCGTTTTGATAGAACCTTTATGGGGGGACATGTTGTGGTACAGGCCACATTAAAGTTGATGGAAGAGCAAGACCCTCTTCAGGTGGATAAGAACAGGGTCTGCCTTCAGACGGTCCCAACATTAACTGAGCTGTGTGAACGTGTTGTGTTTATTACAGAAACATGAGCAGAGCTGCTGATGTCCTGTTTGTTTCTCACTGACAGCCCTCTGTGTGATGTGGCTGTGTGTGTAAATGTATACAGAGCAGGTACCTGACATCCCATCATAAAATGTTTTGAGACAACACATCTTACCAACAAATGTGAACACGGCTTTAGACATGATCATATGCAGTTAAATCAGCAGAAATGATTTAAAATGTTTTAAAAAATGTTTTTTAATATGCATCTGTGTCCAGGTCCTACATTTCTTTTGATATCCTTCGGAGAATACTAAGGGACTACTTCAAGTTCGACGTTCTTTACTGCATGAACATCACAGATGTCGATGATAAAGTAAGGAGGGTTTATCGGTACTCTAATGTCCCTAGGTGGTTGTTTGTCTTTAAGTGTCCTTGTGATGGACTGGGGACATGTCCATTGTGTCCCACACCTCTCACATTGCGACTGCTGGAGATGAGCACCAGCTCCCCACAACCCTGCACAAAAATGTGGGTAAAGAAAATGGATGTAAATATTAAAATAACTTTATACGCCCGTCAAAAGGCCGTTGGTATAGTCTCAGTATGTACGTTTAAATACATAAACTTTCTCTTGTCCTGCCCATAAATTTTGATCCGCATAAGATAATTCAATGAAAGTTCATCATCACTAGATGGAGTGTTGCATTCACTTTCCATCACCCCAGCTCCAAGGTCAAGGTCACAATTCAAAGTCAAATGTTATACAAGGTCTTTGCTTGTCCAGACCACAACTTCTGATCCGCTCAAGATAATTGAACGTAACTTCATACATATTTGTACCACCGCTAGACACTGTGTCACGTAATTTTTTCACCATCCCAGCTCTAAGGTCAAGGTCACAAATCGAGGTAAATCTTTATACAAGACCTCTGGGCCAGTGCTATAGATTGATGTATTGCTGTATAATGGTTTGTTGACGTGCGTATAATGTGCCAAATACATTACTTTTGTTACTATTTTGCTAAATCAAGATTCATTAAACCCAGATTCTTCAAACTGGGCTTCAAATTCATTTATAAAATATGTTAAATACAGTAGTTCCTTGCTACTTAGCGATTGGTTTATCGTGGACTCGCGCTATCACGGTTGTTCAAAAGAAGATTGGACATGACACACAATTAGCTGATTGATGGATGAGCCACACAAACTGCATGGAATTTTTATCTAAAATTATTTTAAATTATTTAGCTCCTGTTGCACCACTGTGCAGCCCATACTGCAGGACATTTCCTCCTGCAGCTGAACAGCTGATCAGCTGTTCTCTGTGCAGAGCGGGAAAGTGGGCGTGGTCAAGAACGCTTGCAGGTCGCTGAGAGCAGCGGAGGCAGGGAGCTGAAATCATGACATTCTGTGCTCTTCTAGAGCATTTAGAGTTTAGAAACATTGTTTAGAATATTGCAAGAGTGTGTGTATATATATATATATATATATATATGTGTGTGTGTGTGTGTGTGTGTGTGTATATATATATATATGTGTGTGTGTGTGTGTGTGTGTGTATATATATATA